CAGATATTATAGCATATATACTGCGTATATATGCGTATATATGTGTATATATATGCGTTATATATGTGTATACATATGCATATATATGCATATATATGCGGTATATATGCATATATGCATATATATATGCGTATATATGTGTATATATATGCATATATATGCGTATATATGTGTATTATATACATATATATGCGTATATATGCGTATATATATGCATATTATGTATATGTGTGTATATATATGCATACATATGCGTATATATGTGTATATATATATGCATATATATGCGTAGATGTGTGTATATATATGCATATATATGCGTATATATATGCATATATATGCGTATATATATGCATATATATATGCATATATATGCGTATATGTGATATATATACATATATTTATAATATGCATATATATGTATTATGTATATGCACATATTTTTCCTCATAGCCACCGTAACAATTTTCTTTGTGGGATTGAAACTGTTTACGAAAGCATTCAACATTCTATTATATATCTTGATTAAGAACGATAAGCGTCATGACAATGATATACGTCGAGGTCTCCATAACCGTTGTCACGTAAGCAACTGCTTCTTTGATGTATTCAGTCTGGTACACTGTCTTGAGGATTGGCCAGGCGTTAGTCATTGTTGTAGTCACATAAACTGGTATGTATGTGATGGAACTGGACACACAAAACTTGAGTGTATGTTGCAGTGGTTGTAATGGAGGCGGTCACAGTCTCCACAACAGATGCCATTGATAAAGTAGTGGCAGTAGTTATCCCTACAACTTGTGTCAGGTGTTCTTCAATATCTGTAGCCGAATATGTAATGCTGATGGTTTCGGCTTGATAGCTGGTATACGTGTATACCCGATTCTTCTCTTTGATCTTCAGTTCGGTGACGTAACGTGTGGAGTAAGCCAGCTGTGGAGCCTGATATTGAGATACCGTTTCCGTGTGAGTAATGGCGTAAGGTTCACAGTCCGTAATGGTAACGCTAACATAGGTAGGTATAACGTCCAGGAGAGTGACGGTGGAGACGACGTTGCTGACTTGCAGACGAGTACTCGTTAAAGACACAGACGAAAATTCATCCTGACACGCCTTGACAGGTAAATCTGGCTCAAGTCCTTCAGTTTTTACAAGCAATGTCCAGAGAACAAGAAATATGTTAAAACTCATACTGATTGTTATGGCAAGCTTCTTCAATGAAGAACTGTATTCATCAACGGCTTGACTTGAGTTTTTATACGAATTAGTGCCACGGGAACTTGGTCATACAACTGAGATCTATAGCTGGAGCTAATTAAGTTCCAAAGTCACTGGGGACAAGGGTGTTTCAACACGGACTAATACCCAATTATAATATGTTCGCTAGTTTGATTTTTATTTTACTTATTCTACAAAAGTAAGTAATTATTAAATTGTATCTTTTATTTATTTCCTTATGCAAATGATAGCTTAACCATTCTGAATTAAAGGATCAGTTGTGTGCATAAATAATTTTGTTGTGTATATTAAATTACAATATATGAATGACTTGCCGTTTAAAGACATAAAAGAACAAACAGATAAAAGCACAAATAAAAGAAGTACATGAATAGAATAAAAGAGAATGTAAATAGAATCCGGATGAATAAATAAAAAAGACAATTAAAAGAAAAATAAACGAGACCCATAAAATGTTTCACTCATACTCGAACCAAAGCTGAGGTAAAATTGTGTTTCCAGAATGTTTAGGATATAAAAATGAATAAGAACTCATGAAAATATAATCAGTAAAAGGTCTCGTTACTTATTTCTAACTCGTTGCAATCATACAAAGACAAATGAAGGGAGGAGGCTATCCTAATCACGAAAGCAATAAAGAACTGAAGCAAAGAGGACGGCCGAAAGACAGTCCTCAACCACAGGCTTGAGGAGACGAGGATATATATATTCATACCTATGCATGCGTATCCTCCTCAACAATTTTGTATGTATAATGTATGCGTTGTATGTATAATGTATCCTGTAATAAAAGGCTGTTTCGTATAATGAATGCGTGGTACGTTCAATAGATTATGTATAACGAGCGTGGTGTATGCAAACTAAATCTAATGTATGTGTATAAGAAAATGAACCGTATATATACAGAAACGTGCAACTAATTGTACTTTTCTTTATGGAACATTTAAACTTTCTTCCTCAATCATTCATTCTCATAGCCACCCTTTTCTTTGTGGGAGATGAAATTGTTTATGAATGAATCAAACATCTATTGCTATTTCTCATTTAAGAAGTATAAGCGCCATGACAATGATATACTGTTGATGTCTCCATAACTGCTGTTACGTAGTCAACTGCTTCTTATTGTATTCAGTCTGGTACACTGTCTTCAGGTTGGTTGTAGTCACATAAACACGTATATATATATATATATATATATATATATATATATAATATATATATATATATATATATATATATATATATATATATATATATATATGCATATATATGGTATATATATATATATGCATATATATGCGTATATATGTGTATATATATGCATATATATGCGTATATGTGTATATATATGCATATATATGCGTATATATGTATATATATATATATATGCGTATATATGTGTATATATATGCATATATGCGTATATATATATATATGCGTATATATATATGCATATATATATATATGCGCGTATATATATATGGTATATATATGTATATATATATCATATATATATATGCATATATGTATATATATATATATGCATATATATATATATATATATGCATATATATGCGTATATATGTATATATATGCATATATATGCGTATATATGCGTATATATATATATATGTATATATGTGTATATATATGCATATATATGCGTATATATGTGTATATATATGCATATATATGCGTATATATGTGTATATATATGCATATATATGCGTATATATATGTATATATTATATATGTGTATATATATGCATATATATGCGTATATGTGTATATATATATATATATGCATATATATGCGTATATATGTGTATATATATGCATATATATGCGTATATATGTGTATATATATATGCATATATATGCGTATATGTGTGTATATATATGCATATATATGCGTATATATGTGTATATATGCATATATATA